TTAAAACCTAAAAGTTTGTTAGCAATTTATAGCAGTGATAGAGAAAATTATAGCGGTGATAGAGGAAATTATAGCGGTGATAGAGAAAATTATAGCGGTGATAGAGGAAATTATAGCAGTGATAGAGGAAATTATAGCAGTGATAGAGCAGTGATAGAGGAAATTATAGAGGTGATAGAGGGAATTATAGCGTTGATAGAGGAAATTATAGCGGTGATAGAGAAAATTTATCTGATATGGAATCAGATGAAATTAATGACTTTTCTTTTTTAATGACTTTGATGAATTATATTTAAATATTGAGAGCGTTGACAAAAATCTAGAATAAAATATATATGTAGAAGAATAAAGTTCTAAAATCTTTATAATGTATAACTTTTTATTTGTTTGCCTACTGTATAAATTGATTAAATATATAAAAAAATATTAAATAAAGTATTTTTTAATTGTAGTGATTTAGCTCAAATTATCGTGATTTGGAATACCCTAAAAATTTATTTATTAGTTGTTTTTTTTATTATTAGTTTTATTATTATTATTTATTATTAGTTAAGAACTAAAATAACAGATTTAATTTCTTAACTAATAATCTGTTAAAGTTCAAAAGATATAGCTGTATAAAGTTTTCACCCTCCCCAAATGAGGAGGTTTTAAACTTTTCATGATCATAACTTTCAAAGAAAAATTATATTTTGACTTGAACATTTAAGTTTAGAGCATTTTAGAAACTGTCCGTTGTTCAAACAATTGGAGAATTCCAAAAGTATCATAAAGTCCAACTGGTGCACCCATATACATACAATGTTTCAAAGGATAGCTGTTACAAGTTTCACTCATCAATTTAATGTTTGGTATGACAGAATAAATTTTTAAAAGTTACACTCAATTGCTGTGCAACCTACTTAGAACTTTTACCAAATCTCAATATCCGAGACTCTTAACAGAAAAGGTCTTGTCCATCTAACACTCAAAACGTATGCTAAGATGGGAATTCATTAAAGAGTAAGATGCAAAACCTCTACTGTTGTATGCTATAATTTTTTTATCCAACATGTGTTAGTAGCACACCATCACATTCAATTATGTCGAGTTACAAAATCAAAACCCAGCTTTTATTTAATATATATGTAAAATGGCATAATTAATTTATATATAAAATAAAGCTACTGGTAATGTTTTCATCAGTAAAAAGCAAAACATTATCACATTAACGGAGCCTAGTTGTTTTAAAATTAAAAAAAGCAATTAATTTATAGTTCTTTGAAACCCTGTTGAATTAGGTTTTACAACAGAAAACAGAGTTTTATCCTTCTACCCATCAAAATATAGTCATTGAAGTTGGTTGATCTTGTTCTTGCTCTGCAATCCAAGGTGTGAAGTGTGGTTATTCATATTTTTTTACTTATAACTTTATTTTTGTAATTATATTTGGTCACAATACCAAAACCTTGCAAAACTTGAGACAATGGCTCTTGTTGCTCTGTCTGATAATCAACAACAAACACTCATTAGAGCTGTAATTAAATTTAAGTTAAAAGTTCTAATTTTAGCATTTTTTTTTTTCGTTTCTTGTTTGAATACTAATAATCATATTTTTAACAATTTTCAAAAATTCAATTTGTAATGTGTTAGATCCAGATGTATAATATTAGTAGTTTTATTACCATCTTTCTGTAATTATTGAGCAGAAAGGTATTTTTTACTTATAAATAAATTTTTAATTTTTTTATTTATTATCTTAATACTTTGTTAACCTTAAATAGTCTCTAGCTACTTGTCATATAACTTATTTTATTTTATTTCATTTATCAGAAAAATGGTAAAAAGAGTATATTTATTCAAGTATTTAAGTGAGATACTCTATTTGGTGAGGTTCAATAAAAAAAGTTCACTGATAAAAATTTTTTCCAAACTAATGATGGGAAGTGGTCCCCCACACCTGCTTTGTAAGCCCTTTAGAACCCTGTTTTTGTCCAAAATGACCTATTTCTAAAATGTATTAAAATCAATAAGTATTAGTGTTACATGCATCAGTTTCACTTATTAGGGTTAAAAAAATTATAAGAATGTATATAACAATGACCTATTCCCAGACTCCACCCTAGTAACGCAAGGTCCCGGACCTGTTTTTAAAGCTCTTTTGAGATCCATTTTTGTTAAAGTAATATATTTCTGAAATCTATTTAAATCTGCTTGAATTAGTGTTACATGCATCAGTTTTACTTATTAGGGCGATAACAATAAAAAGAATGTATTTAGCAGTGATAAATTCCCAAATCCCACCCTCAGAGCGCTAGGACCTGGATATGTTTTTTTGAGCCCTTTTGAAGCCCGTTTTTGTTGAAAATGATAATTTTCTGAAATGCATAAGAATAAACTATTGCCAGTGCTATATGCAATAATTTTACTTATTAGGGTAAAGATAAGTGTATGAATGTATGTAGCAGGGGTAACTTGGGGCAAGGGGAAAGGGGGTAAAAATACTAAAAGCTGTTGTAAAAACTTAAGAAAGATTCTTATTTTTTAACATTTCTTCAGTTTTCTTAATTGTGAGTACTAGTGGCCCATATGCCCCAAACTAGATGCCCATATGCTCCTCTACCAGTCATTTCTAACTCAGCCCTAATTCAAATTTATAAATCAAAAAATTACAAAAAATAATGTACTCAAACAAAAATTTTAAAAGAATGAAAAAAATGATTTTATGCGTTCAAGAAAACATATTACAAATAACAACATTTAAAATTATTCTAATAAAATAACATACATAATTTAATCAAACCTTGACATATAACTAAATTAAAATACTACAGAAAAACAATAGGCATATTATGTACTTAACTATATATTTAGTTCATATTATATGTATGCATATTTGAATTTATTAAATTGTTGTTATTTAGAATGATTATGACTCATGTGTCTCTCTGTAGCTTCAGTTGAAATTTTTTTTCTATGATACTCAACTACTTGGTAAAGAAGCTGATACTGATTGTCATTTTTTGTCAAAACTTCATTAAAGTTAGGGGCTAATTTAACTGCCCGTTCTGCACAGTCATTAACTACTTTCATGGCAGGAACAATCTTACAAGCAGCCTTGTGGTCATCACAATTAGCCCAAGTTTTAGGAGACAATGTCAAGAATTCTTTTGGTAGATTAAAAGAGTCAAACAAATTCATTGAGCGTTGTGTAACAAAGTTAGCTATAGAAAGTTTAGAGAATGTATAAATCTTGTTTGAAGCAAGCCTTCTATTGTCACCTGGTAATGGTTTTTTTTGTAAGGCATTTACAATTTCCATTTTCTCCTCAACAGAAATTTCTTCACTGAATAATGGAAGAGCAGCTAGATCTTCACTTAAATGCCATATTTGAAGTTTAATTTTATTTTTTGCAACATTTGCAACTTTGCTGTCAACTTGACAGAAACATACATAAATTGTGGTTATGAAGAGACAAATTCTTCTTAAAACCCCAATTTTTTTATCTGTGACATTTAATTGATGACGAAAACCAAAAATTTTTAAGCAGTCATTTAGCCATCCATCTAGCAATTTTTATTCCTTTAGCCATCCATCTTGCACGATGGTAAGCCCTAGGAGTGCAAATACTTGTTATATCATTATTTTCTCCCAAAAGGAGAAGATGAATTAAAAAAACATTTTTTGTCCCATCAAGATAAATAAAGATAAACAATTTCTGATAGACCAGAGAGGCGCCTGAAAGATGTTAATGACATCGGAAGACTTAATGTATAAAAAAGCAGTTGTAAAATACAGAAAACGCAAGTAATATAGTAATATTCCAACTATAGCAAAGCCTCATGTAGTTCTACATGAGGCTTTGCTATAGTTGGAATATTAGCCTTAAGCCAGAAAATCATAACTTTGTCTGCAACTGTGTTGCAGGATATTGAAAGAGTTGACTTTTTGACTATCATTTCATAATAAACTCTACATAGTGCAACACCACTTGTTGGCAACTGACTCTGTCCATCTACTGTGGAGAGAATATGTCCAACTAGCCGAACATTTGTAATTAAGCGTGTTGCTTTGTTTGAAGCAGCCATCTTCTTATGTAATATTTTACTATTATTAAATTTATACAAATTTAGTTACTGAGCTAAAGTTTACTTAGAAAAAGTTTACTTGAAATTATAGCAAATAAAATGTTTTTGAAATCAAAATAGTCATTTAGGAGCGATTTAGGGTAAATAATGCTAAATTTAATCTAAATTTTCTTGTACTTTCCAGTCTTTTTTGAACTATCTATGTTGTAACATTATAATACTTTATATTGTTTGTTTTTAGATCAATTTATAGCAGTATTTTCTATGAAATAAAAATGTAATTACAAGATTAAGTTTTTAGAAAAATTTTGGTCAATTTAGGGTTCCGAAATAAGGTTTGGGGGACCACTTCCCATTTTCAGTTTGCAAAAAAATTTTAACAATATACTTTTTATAACAGACCTCACCAAATAAGCGGTTGTGCATTTTAAAAGTTGAAAAAAAATTTTTTCCATATAAAAAAAAACCACCCTAATATATATATATATATATATATATATATATATATATATATATATATATATATATATATATATATATATATATATATATATATATATATATATATATATATATATATATATATATATATATATATATATATATATTATATATATATATTATATATATATATATACATATATATTTATGTCAATATAACATATATAGATTAGCAAATGCTTGTTAGATGCTTAGAAGGTCGTGCTCTATCTATAAAAGAGTCAATTTCTCTTTAATTTTAAATCATGCCAAAAGTATCCCAAAATATTAACATAAAAAGCCATCCCGACCACCTAATTGCTATAATATATCTTTTACAAATATTCTTATACTTATATAAAAATAAAAAGGTCAATATTAACAGTAGTAATTATTTAATAATTAATAACAGTAATTATTTTGTTGTAATATAATTTCTTAATTTTTCTTTAGATGCTGACCTTGTTAAAAAATCCTTTCATTTTTAATCCTTCAGCAAGTGGCATCAGTGCAGCAATATCTGGGCTAACAATCATAAAACAAATCCCTTCAGCATTGAATAATAGATCAGTAGTAGATGGTCTGCGTAAAAATCTGGATATATTTATTAATCAAACAGTTCCTATATCAAAGGTTTTTTCTGTTATTAGTTTTTATTTGTTTATTTTTAAGGCCTTTGTAATCTGGGTTTTCAAAACTTATTAAACAATTAAAAGACTTCAAATTATTTCAAAATTTCATCTGATTTAGGAAAATTTAAAAAACTAAATTATTTATTTCAATCATTGTTTATATTTTTATTTGGATGTTTCATGGATATACTTTTCTTTTTTTTTTTAATAGAAGTTGAGTAAGTGCACTTGAAATTTGAGTGCACTTGAAATCAACTCCTGGGTCTTGAGTTGAGTTTTTTTCAAGCTGTTTCTAAAAGTTTTTAAATTTAGTGAAACAATTTTAGATTGGTTCCTCCAAGGATGTAATTTGTTGAATTCCATACCTCTTTCCTCCAAAGCAAGCATTTAATATAAAAGTGTTTTTATAACGATAGTCTTTTTACAAAATCTGAAAAAAACAAAAACCCCAAAACTTGCCATAACCTCAATAAACAAAATAGAAACCAAGAAGTACCTTGCATATTTCTAGATTATGCACATATAGTTTAACATAGCCCATAGATGTGTATCTTGTTCAAAGCCCATAGATGTGTATCATGTTCAAAATTACTATTGCGACACCTCTTGCACTTTTTATAGTGATGAAATTAAGTGAAGATGACTAAGAACCTTGATTATTATTATTATTTTTTACCTTTTTTTAAATAATTAATACTTTTATCTTTTTTTAAATAATTAACTGTCAAAGTAGTGAGTAACCAAAGTTTGTGTAAAATAATTTAAAAAAAAAAGAAAACAGTTAGTTTTACTTAAGTAACTTAGACATCTTATTAGCGATATTGTTAAAAATTTGTTTTATAGAGTTTTTTAGTTTTTTTTATTTTTATAATTTCTTTTTAGGTTGTCATAGACAGTGCATTATTTATGTACAATAAAATCATTATATATCAACTTAACATTAGTAACATAACACCAGGTGTTTCTTTTTTATGTATACTTGATACACCAAACAATGAAGCTTTCAAAATCCTTTTCAAAAAAGATGGATGGCCAACTGAAGAAAAATATGATGATGTAGCTTTTTACAATACCACAAAGAGTTATGCTATTTTTAAGACAGAATACAATATTACCTCATATTACATTGGAATAATGACTAAAAATCAATCAGATGCATTGAAATATGAATTCAAAGTTGGTTTAGAAGTATTGACTATTGGATGTCTTTTTTGGGATGAGGTTGCAAATATATGGAGTAACAAAGGTTGTCAGGTAGAGTTGTACTTAATATTGTTAATATTTGTGTATAGCATTAGTAATATATATATATATATATATATATATATATATATATATATATATATATATATATATATATATATATATATATATATATATATATATATATATATTTAGCAAAAAGTCACAGAAATGTGAAAGTCACACAACTGATTTTACATCAGGCTCTTGATATATACTTTGTGAAAAATAGTTTGCGAGTGCACAGACCATATATAGGAGACTGTAAAATTAAAATAATATATAATATCTAACCTTAAATTTGATAACTTCCCCTATGACATTTTTGGGATGAGGTTGCAAATATATGGAGTAACAAAGGTTGTCAGGTAGAGTTGTACTTAATATTGTTAATATTTGTGTATAGCATTAGTAATATATATATATATATATATATATATATATATATATATATATATATATATATATATATATATATATATATATATATATATATATATATATATATATATATATATTTAGCAAAAAGTCACAGAAATGTGAAAGTCACACAACTGATTTTACATCAGGCTCTTGATATATACTTTGTGAAAAATAGTTTGCGAGTGCACAGACCATATATAGGAGACTGTAAAATTAAAATAATATATAATATCTAACCTTAAATTTGATAACTTCCCCTATGACATTTCAAAGTTATGTTTTGTATTGTATAATTTTACATTATGTATTTTAATGTAAACGAGATTTGTTGCATGCAAAATTTCTGTATATTTTTACAAAACTGAGTTCTAATAATATGTAACACTTTGCCAAGTTGAAACTTTTTATAACTTTGCCAGTTGAAACTTTTTTTTTTTGCAACAAATTATAATTTGTCACAAAAAAAAGTTTCAATTCACAAAGTAATGTCTAAATTGTTGTTTTTTTTAAACTTATTAAAGTGCAACTTTAAAAAATGTCTCAATATGCTTTTATTTTTATTGTAAAATAGATTTGTCTTAAATGTTGTTTTTTCAATAAGCATATGAAATTTTTGAAACAGACTCGAGTATGCTTATGTATGCATAAGTATGCTTATACTGAAAGCTTCGCGAGGCTCAAAACTTAAACTTAAGCATATTTCTAATAAAATATGCTTATTTCAATATTTTTTGAAAAATTGATAACACACATTTTCAAGTTTTTGCAGTATTTGAATAAAAGTATTAGAGAGCGGAATATTACACTCCAAAGCGCTTTTTTCCAAAGTATTTCAATAAACATTTCTTTAAAATTTATGTTCTTAAGTTGTTAATAGAAGTTTATGTTTTGCTATGCAATGACATCATAAATTCATGATTCCATATGAATTTTTTATATTGATTTAAATGGTTTAAATTTAAAAAAAAAAACATATTCAAAATTTTATTCAAAATTTTTTTTTAACCATTCAAATGGTTTATCAAGGTTCAACAATATCCTTATTTTTTAATGCTTATTTTTTAACAAAATTTGAGCCTAGGTGTGCTTATAAACGTTATGATTATAAAAAAACAACAACATGTAATTAGCTACTTTTTTTGTTTGTTATTAATTAGTAACAAAAAAAAAACAAAAAAAACAAACCAAAAAAACAAACCAAAAAATCAAACTAAATAAGACAAATCTATTTAACAATAAAAATAAATGTTGATATTTAGCAGTTTTTTAAAAAGATTTTTATAGTTACAAAAGTCTCGACAAACGCATTGTTTAATACTATAACTCATAAATGAGTTACAATATTTAACAAAAAAATTTATTTAAATAATATTTTAAACACATTTATCAAAACTATAGTAATTAAAAAAAATTTCTTTAAAAACCAACCCACAAGCTTAAAAACCCACAACCTAGTGGGTTAGTTTTAAAAAAAGACTTTTTAAAGGTAAATAATTCTTTTAAAGCTTTAAAAGTAGCGTAATATAAAACATAAAAAAAGTACCTTTAAAAGTTAAAATAACTTACTTAAGCAATCTAAGGTTAATTATTTTATTTATTACCTCTAAAAGTGTAACCAATCGAGATTTAACATAACGTAAAACATTTAAGAATTGAAATGTAATTAAAATACGTCAAAATAAAATTTTTTTATTTTACATTACGTCTTTTTTTATTTTATTTAGTTACCTTACATTAGGTCTTAATTGGTTACACTATAAAAAGTTTAAAAAAATTGAGATATAACATTGCGAATTGAAACTTTTGACAAAGTAACCAATTGAGACAAAGCTATTTTACAATAAAAATAAAATTAAAGATGATAATTAGCAATACAGCAATAAACAAACATTTACTGCATTATCAAGTTTATTTACTTTATATTAAAATTTAGGGAATGTAACCTTTTTACCAATTTTAACCGATTAAAAACATAACGTAGCTTACTGTCAAAAAATATGGATTTAGTTATTTGTAGCAGTAACTCAGAGATATTACTGTGTGTTACTTAAAAAGCCAAAAGTCATTGTTCTCAGCACATAAAAGGCTTTTGACAAAGACTTGTTAAATTTGTTTTCTTTTAAATTTTTTCTTTTAAATTTTTTTTTTTTAAATCACAATGTTTTTTGAATCTTTAAGTTTTTTTTCTCTTTTAAAAGTTCTCTTCATATACCTTTGTCTCCTTTATAAGCTCTCTTATAGTATTAGAAAATATTTTAAAAATATAATCAAATACAATCATATAATATAAATTGTACTTGATATATAATGATAATATAATGATTTTCTTCCAATAATCTCATACTTTAAAGTTTTAGGTTATTTACTGTAGTGTTTCTAATTTTTATTGATTATAGTTTTTTGATTACACAATTAAATATACCTGTCTCAATAGTATTTTAGTTTAATGGCTTTAAAGACACTAGTTTAGTTTTAAAAGGCTTTAGAGGTTAAATATTGTTATATTTTAAAATAAATAAATATAAAATTTCTTGTTCAGTTTTTTCTTATATTACCATTTCCAATTGACTTAGTTCAAAATAAAAAGTTCAAAAAAATCAAATATATATTTTTCTATTTAATGTAATAACAGATGTTCTTAAATTTCTTTATGTTGTTAACAATAAACATGTTATTCTATAATGATCAACTTTATTACAAATACTATTTAAATTTTTACGTCAGGTTGGAAAATTGACAAATCAATTTCAAACTCATTGTCAATGTGATCATCTCACATGGTTTGGAAGCAGCAGCTTTTTTGTGTCTCCAAGAGAACTAAATATTAAACAAGAAATAATGGCTTTAACTAATGTAGAAAATTATCCAGCACTTTTGGCAACCATATGCACTTTATATGGAATTTTTATTTTAGCTATAGTTTGGGCTAGAAGAAGAGACCAACGTGATCTATTAGAGGTTAGAAATTTTATTTATAATGATGATATGTATGTTTTAGTTAAGTTATTTTTCAAAAAAATAAAATTAAAACGAAAATAAATAATAAACTATAACGATAAGATTATTTAAATTATGTTGGAAATAGATAACTTTGAATTATTTATCTTTACTAATATTTTCATGATATAAATTTATGCAAAACCCTTTTAAATAAAGTAACAACTTACATCTAGTGATTGTTTCATAAATACGCCATTTAAAAGTTAAAAAAAAAAGATTCTTAACAATTCTTTGCAGTAACGTAAACAAAAGAAAAAATAATTAAATCGTTTCTTTAAAAAGTTGATATAATTTTTTAATTTAAGGCGTTTTAATAAAAAGTACATACTTTATATAAATATAAAAAAATATATACAATGTTTATTAACACTTTATTTAAAAAATCATTAGCAGTGATTTCTTACTTTATTTAAATGTAAGTAATGTAAAGATAAATGTGTCAAAGGTACTTATTTTTGTGGTAATTAAAAACCACATTTTCAGCGAATTTTTAAAATGTTATAACCATGGTCAAATAGTCAAAACAAAGTATTATATGCGTGGTCATAAAAAGACTTGTTTTTGCATGCCTTCCTGGCCTAGCCTGAATATAAGCTTTTTATTAGCTTAAAACCAGGGATGCAGAGTCCCCAAAAAGACTCTGGATTTGAAAGTCACAAAAAACTTCTTCCTAGTTTTTGGTATCAAGGAGCTCAAAAAATATAAAAAAGCTTATGGACTACTAATGGGAAAAATAATGAAGATTTTTTAAGTGAGAGAAACAATCATTTTTTGAACCTTGAGTTCTTAGTTATAATGGCAGCAAGGACGCCTGGATTCTGGGCTACATATTTAAAAAACCATATACAGGCTCAGAATAGGCAGAAATGTGAGCAATCTGATTCGCTGATTTTAAAAGAGAGGCAAATGTGTTTTTGTTGAAAAATATAATTAAAATCAAAGCAAACAGGTTTTCGAAATAAATTTCAAAGTAATGATAAACTAAGTTTATCAATACAAGTCTTGTGTTATTATCAACACACGAAACTCACTTTATTTTATTACTTTTCAGAGCATTTAAAAAGTATCAAAATCTATTTGTACAAGAGAATTTTCACTCATAAAAAATTTTAATAAAGTTTATCTTGGTGATGAGGATTTTATCTGTTGTTAATTTGAAGAAATGGAAAAAAAGTGGATTTGTTAAAGTATCAAAAGTTCTATAAATCTGTAAATGTCATAAAATATAATGTTCTTGGCCTTGAAGCATATTTTTTTTCAAATAAAATTATTCATTCAAAATTGATCATTAAAATATTTCATTCAAATAAAATTTTATATGCAGATTATAAAGAGTTAAACATCAGAGTTTTTTCATAAAGAAAATACTCCATGCAAATACATGGACTCTGAGAACATTTTTATTTCATATTTTGTTTTAATCTTAATTTTGAGTAGTTTGGTAAGCTACATTAACTTATACAAAAATTATAGCAATTGGATATTAATACTCTAATTTAAAATTTAACAAAAGAAGTGAAATTTATGTTCATCTATTGAATATGTTCATAAATTTATTGTACAGTCACATATAAGCTTTTTATTATAGTTTATTATGCTACAATGTTTTGTAATTTTTTATTACAATACAAGGGCAATCCAAATCAGCTCTTGCTTACAATAATTTTTAATTCAAGAATTTTTAAAATTATGTGGGCTAGCTGTAACAATAAAGCAATATTCTCAAATTTAAAAAGTTTTATAAATGTATATAATTTATTTATGGGAGTAAATAGGGTAATGTTCTGAAAAGCAATTTTTTTTTTTCTTGCTAAATGATAAGATTTATAGGAACTTAATGTGAAAAAAAATCATATCAAGTTATTAACACTATTAATATAACTAGATGAATTATAAAACTGTTTTAAAAAAGGGTTTCAAAATATAACTCTGGGCTTAAAAATATAAGTTCCAAGTCAATAAATTTTTTTCTCATAGCAGAATAAGTCAACCAATATGTTTAGAACTTCTATACCCTACAGACCTGGAAAAAGTAGAGATATAAAGCTGGAGTCCTTTTAGAACTCAGCATCCTTGCTTAGAACACCCTTTCTTCTAAAAAAACCATAGAAACAAGAAGTATTTTGTATTAGTTTAGAACACCCTTACTTTTAAAAAAGTACTAAAACAAAAAAATTATTTTATGAAAAATTGAGATAATGGGCATCACTATAGATACCATAGATGATGGGTATCACTAGAGACCATAGGTCAATTTTTATACCTCATTCATTAAAAAAGAGTGCTCTATCACTGCACCAATACAGCATAGCTACTTTCTTTCTAAACACTTAAGTACTGGTATATGGATACATCTTGCTTTAATGTTGCTATAGATCCAGAGAATCTAAAACATTCCTGAAGTTTCTATAAATTTAACAAGTTTTCTCCATTTTTTTAAAAAGTAATATACAGTTTTTTATCTTAAAACTAAATTGCCATTTTGCCATCAACTTCTTTACTAAGTGTCTCTACTAAGTGTTGACTATAATATATAATTTCTATAAGATTATAAATAGATATTACTTTATTAATCAAATAACTAATGGACAGTTTTCAGTCATTCTAGTTACAGCTCATCATTTACCATAAATACTACACAAAAGTGGCCAACATA